ATTTAATTGATATCATTGTTATTGAGTTCTTATTTTCTTTCTCTTAATAAGTATCTTTGTTATATTAACTATCAAATAAGAGTATAATGAAGGATTAATACTTACATCGTGTACTATCACTTCAGCTCCTGACATAATTTATTACCAGCAACTTTATTTAAAGAAATGTATATAAACTGTTCAGTAACCAAGTGTATAAGCACATATAGATATATGCAAATTAGATTTGCAATTTGACTCTTGTCCTTTTCCCTGCATCTTTTCACTTGACTCTTTACTCAAAGAGAGTCTCCAGACTAAAAATTTATAATAGTAAAATTTTGATTGTCACACGCTGCATTGAATAACTTATCAGAACGACATCATCTTACACGAAGCAGGATAAGTGATTGGGACCGATGAGTAGCGCATGGGATAAAGTTATAATCTATTTTAGAATCATTTTATTTTTCAAGAATGGTTCCATCAAGATGACCCGACATCTCGCAAACGCAACAATCTGAATATCCCCTCGGTACCGATGTGGACTGAGAGTTTACCCTTTAAAAACTGCTCTTATCGCTCCGCGCAATCCGCGGTGTGTCTTCACCCTCGTCCCTACTGACATATCGATAACAATTTACACTTAATACCCATGCCGGTCTGTCATCGCCCGACAGCTTGGTCTCGCTTCACTTTTAACCCGGCGATCATTCCTACTCCGTCGCCTACAATTAAGTTTCCCCGCGCATCTGCGCCCAGTCAGAATCCGACGACCGTGAAATTACACACACACACAACACACACACACACACACACACATATATATATATACATATATATATATGTGTACAAATTAGCGGTATACAGTGACGAAAGTAACGCTTAGCCGGCAGGCGTAGCGATACGCGTTCAGTGTAAATGTATCCAACGTATAAGAGGCATGCCTCGTCGCGCGCATGCAAATCGCGCGCGAAGTGCTCTCCCACGTCTTACGCTTCGATATACTCACTCACTCGCTCGGTCTAATTGGAGCTTTAAAGCAATATTAATATTAATATCTCGCCTTAGTGCATACATACGCTCGCGGCGTTAATTAACGACTTGGCGTTTCGCATTAATTTGCCCGATAACACACCTGCTTTACGCGGTGCGCGATTCCTCCGCTGTATCCGGATTCGAGTATTCTAATTCTGTCGTGAGGAGAATTCGCATAAATATCGTGCACCCGTTTTTAGCCGCATCAACGTGAGAGCGCGTTACGGATTCTAATTGTGATTTTCTTTTCCTCCAGCTGCCGTCAAAACAAAACAAAACGTTTTCTAGTCGATGTGAGTCGACATAAGAGCGACCCTGTCGGTTTTGCTGTGTATCCCAAACATTTTCTTCCGGAGTATGCTCTCGTCTCGTGTCGTTCGTATTGTTTAAAATAGATTGGACAGTCAGTCGCGTATTTATGAGTCCTTCGGAAAAAAATAGGCACTCCCGCGTAAAATAAAATAAAGAGAGGTCTCTGCAAAACGGAGATCCGCATAAAATAAGACACTGTCTCGTATCTCAGAATAAATCTGATCTGCTAAGCCGTCTCGTCACATGAATATAAAAGAAGAGCATTTACGGAGACTGGAAATTTGCAACGGAAATGTATGACGATACTTCGCGAAACCCTGCGCGAATTAATTTTAGAACACTCACGTTACGAGTGTCTTGCGATTCGTAACAAGCGCGGTTTCGCGTGCATCTCACCGTTGGAAACGCGATTTCGGAGATGCGAGGATCAAAACACACGATGCGCATCGCGCGCATTCTTCACGCACGTCATCATCGTCTCGAATATATTTCGGCACTGAATAACGATTATTTTGTCCCCGTAGATCGTGCTTAAACCATGCAAATTAGTTGAGGAGGAAATAAACAGCGAGATAAATGTTTACACCCATGCCTAAAAGAACGTTGCACCGCGTGCGGTGGATGGATCGTCATGTCAATACACGGCGACGAGAAAATATATACCTTGAAAGCGGATTTCTTATAAACGCTACGGAAAATATCCTTTCGACTTTTAATTTCTTCGCGCTCCAGCTGCTTTCATAACGATGGAAATATTATCATACACATAACATAGTGCAGCTGAGCACGATCGTGGCTCATGATGCATCTAATAAATGTAATATGTAAGTACTTATTCTTTTGTATAAAAATGTAAATAATTGCTCTAAAAAGAGATAAGTAAAGTAACAGTCCTAATTATGAGTCACTTGAGGCTAAAATAACTTTTAATCATATAATTGAAAGTTATTTTAGTCTAAAATAACTTTTAATCATATAATTGAAAGTTATTTTAGTCTAAAATAACTTTTAATCATATAATTGAAAGTTATTTTAGTCTAAAATAACTTTTAATCATATAATTGAAAGTTATTTTAGTCTAAAATAACTTTCATATAAATTTGTCGATCGAACATTAAAACGAATTTGATATCAACATAAGTAACTGACACATCATAGTTTTAAAACAAAATTATTAAACCTTAAATCAGTTTATATTCTAAATTATAGAAAAAAATAATTTGAAAAATTTATGTGAAAGACCCAATTATGAGTGGACAAATTACGCCTCTGTTTATATTCAATTTTATGTCAATAATCTTCATATTCACATTGTTTTAGTCCATATAGACTATATATAGAACAATCTGTTAGTAATTTCACAAATCTAGAGAAGTCGGCGGAGCAATTGATATCTTCGATTTTTTTCTTTGTGAATGTAAATTTCGAATATAATTGTAAAAGAACTAAGGATATAAAAAAAATGTTTTCTATGCTTCCATTATAATGTGTACTTCTTTAATACATTAATAAATCAAATTTCACCCAAAATCAAGACTGTTATCTTACATGTTTATTTATCTAAGTTTTCGAGCGTTTGGCAGGAAGCAAATATTCACGCTTCCGTTACGAAAACGATCGCAGGCATTTATAATCCGATGATTAATCGGGAAATGGCTACGAGTAACAAATTGGAGAACATCACGATTACCTTCATCAACACACGCGGCGACGGCTTGGCAAGCCGAAATACGACCTAGAATTTGAATCCTCGGGGCAAATAGTTGGCGGGCCGCCAGCGGAAACGGCAGTCGCGATCGCCATGTTTTCTTAATCATGCTTATAACGTAATTGGGCGATCCATTTGCGAAGTTCGGGATATTTACGCGAATCAACTCGAGTGTTCGTTTTCCTATGAGAATCTGGCGGGATTCCAGAGTGTTTGTGTGCGCTTCGCAGTCGTAACTCGCCCGGATTCAACAACCAGGAATTACTCACCGCGTAGTGTGTAGTAATAACATTTACTCGACCATTACGGCGATCCGTTATTGCGGATAGCTAATAAACGTGGTAAAATAAAGCTTCAGAATACATCGGCGGTCATTAGGCTTTACTACGTCTGCCGTTAAGAACAAAATAAACTCCGATCGCGACGTCGCGCATGGCTTGTAATAATTGAAGCAACGGAGCTTCGTCGGAAGTCGTTTCGCAAGTCGAAATTCTGGTTCTACGATAGTATCATAAATATTGTGGAACACTTGAAGAATCAATGGAGAATCCCGAAATATAATATCATGCAAACTATTGTCTTACCTCGAGATACTGATTATTTGAGTAAATTATATAATTGATACAAGACACTTGTTAGAATTAAATATAAAAATTAAGCGCAGAAAGGACATTGAATCGATCGAATATTAAATAATTCTCAAGTAAATGCTTCTTTCCTAGTCTGAGCATCAAAGAAACGGTAATTTCAGACTTGAAGAAGTATTTATTTAAAGAATTATTTAATGCTCAATTATCTCGATATCCTGCCTGCATTTAATTTCCGTGTTTAATCTTACACAGCATATTAATCGTGTAATTTACTCAACTGCAGATAGAGCATGCGTAATAAGCAAACGATAAATAATTAACATACATAAATGAAATAATACGTTTTTTTTATTTCCATCATCTCTAATTATTTCTTATATTGGTGTTGGAATTTCCGAACATGGACATTCATAAGACGTAAGAGGCGTAATAGTATTAGAGATAGCGGTTGTGTGTAAACATCAGTAACGATTTAAATCTGTATCCGGCACAATAACAAGACTAAACGGGAGTGAAAAAAGGCGTTGTCAGATTCAAGGTGAAGCTCGAGCTCCAAGGAGTATTATTAGAGAAACAAACTCGGCACTTGCGAGATTTAGGCCCGCATTCGCGTAGTTGGAAGTTATTTATAATATTTACTGGAGTGCATAATTAATTAAACAGATTCATATTCACGGCCATCTAGATCGATATTTCTTGCTGCATGAATATTGCAATGAATAATTCGAGATTCATGAAGTTATGATTGCTAGTCAAATAATGACAGTCTACGACCTGTATTAACCCTTTAGCTATGGGAATAATTTTAAAAACTTTGCCGCGATACAAAACCAAGTAAAATTATAAAATCACTTATTGACGACAGTCGTAGTTAAAGGGTATATATTAGTCGAAATTAATAGTCGAAGTCTATTTCAAATGATATTTGAATTTAGAGTTGGATGAAAGAGTTTTTTTAGTTAAACCGTGATTACAGATATAATATTTCATATATATTACAATTGTATTGATAAACTTGATTCAATTCTAAGTAAAAATCTGAGTATCTCTTACTAAATGAGTTTCAAGTAGCAACTAATTAATACGGGTTTAGGAATGCCAAATTCAGAATGGATTTCGAATTTCGATTCGGATATCTCCTCACTCTCGTTGATTTTGTCGAACGTTCGTTAAAATCGCAAGACATTTAGCGCAATGAATCATTTAACGCACCTGGAGATGTATGACGTATCGCTGCCCGCGTTCTGCGTCCTTCGTCCCTGGCTTTCCAATTTAGCATCCTGCTCCCTGGGCTACTTCGTCGCGCAAGGCACTCACTGGGCATTCACTGGCATTCACGTAGACACAATTCGACCGGAGAAACACGTCTTAATTGACACGATGTCGACGAGAGTCTGATTAAATATTTCAATGACCGACGAAATATTTTTATCACCCGAACGGGAACAGTAAACAACGCACCGATACAACCCGCGTCGCGTTAAATGTCCGTCCGTCCGGCGCATAATAAAACGTTTACGGAAAAGTACGCGGCGCGCGCGAGAGCATCAAAACGATTTGGAAAGGACGCAATTACAATCGCGGACCGTCGTCTTCGTCGTCGTCGATCAGTGACGAGCATATTTGGTGGCCGAGAAATCACGACAATCGACATCCCAAAAATATTTCGGAGCTTCGAAATGGTCGAATTATGAAATTATCCGGACAGCAGCGCGCATGACACGTATCGAGAATGCCGCTCGTGGCATTTAACATTTAATCGCCGTTAATTAACGAGCAATAATTAATTGTTGTTGTTTTCAATTGACCCGTCTTTTTACCAGTGAGACCACTGGATGTTTGGCCACGATGACGGCCATGAACCGGCTCCAGGACGAAGGATGTAGCGGCAGTCAGCGACGAGACTTTCAAACATTTCCCTTCGCTTTTTCTGTTAAATCTTCTAACCCTATCGAAATTTCTCAATGCCAATAGAAAATGATAACAGAACGATTACGAAGGAAGAACATTTGTTGTTTTATTTCCTCTTTTATTCGTTCGTTTTTTATCAGATTATTTAATGTTCGCTTGTCTCACTATTCTATCCGCAGTTGAGTGAGTTATCTAATTAGTATTTGTTTGTTGAAATTAAAAATAAAAATTAAATGTAGACTATTGAGGCAGTCGAATAATAAATGATTCTTCAATGAGTCTTCAAGTCTCAATAAAACAGTAGTGGCCATTTCTAACCTTAACAGCTCGCACACACTATATCTCAAGATTTTCTACTAATTTTCCAAGTTGTCGATGGGATTTTCAGCGAGCTCAGGTTTTCGCGTGAAAATTCGACGGATTTTCGGACTTTTGATGAGTTCGAGCTTCAACATTCGCGCGCGCACGACGCGTAAGACGGGAAACACTCGCGGTCGGGTATCATGTGTTTTCGTTATGCGCAATCTCTCCGTAATTCGTCTTATCATCCCCCTATCGGGCCCTTCGACATAGTCGGCGCAAAGCAGCTACATGCCGAGTCACAATTATCACGTGAAAACAGGAGAATGATGCGTGCACGCGGCTTCACCGAACTGCGCGTATCTCGAGCACCTACACACACGCGTCTCGCGTCTCTGTGGTAGGGGTTCGTCAACAAGCGCGTCTTTTACACGCGCCGGCAAAAATAGCGATACTTTCGTTCATACGTTGCGTATGATGTTTCGGTTTATTGCGCCACTCGGACAGGCCATTCCGTGGCGGCGCGGGAAACCGCATTATCGCGCCGAACGTGAGAAAATATTTATTCGGTCAATATTTGAGACTGCAGCACAAACGTCGCGAGAGAGAGAGAGAGAGAGAGTTTCGAACTAGAACTAAATTTAGAAAACTAGAATCTCTCCCACTCGGAATGAAAGAGCACATTCGTCTCGTATATATACGTGCACGTAATATACAATATTAGTTCTGCAATAGAGAAATATTGATGGAGCAATTGCTTGTGTTTCGCACCTTCGATGAGAAAGAGGCACGATGTCTCAAAGGTACAAATTAAATAACGCATTTGTTTCGTGGTACACCACATATCGTATCTGAATGAGAGCTCCGCGATTTGGAAATATTCCTCGCGCACACACGCGAGAATATCGACGCCCCTCGGTTGTTTATCGGGTCCCGTGCGTATCTCTTTCTCTCTCCTCTCCTCGGATTAAAAATTTGCTTACAAAACAGTGCATGCAATTTTTATTTTACGTAATTCGAAGCAGTGCGTAGCAACGCGGCGGGGGGTTGCGCGATACGAGGACGTGCACGGTGCACGTCGTCACGCACGACCCTCTTTCGGCGAAGGAAAACGCACGCGGTTTATATTGTTGGGTCGCTCGAAGTGAAGATACATGCCCGGGGCGTCCACAGTCCGCCGAACAGACGCGCAGAAACCGAGCGAGCGGGCGGGCGGTGTTTGCGGCGGTTCCGCGGCGGACGTGGACGGAGATAACGCATTAAAATAGTACGCCGACGCACGATAACACGTATTTATAATATCTGCTGCCGAGCAGTTCGTTCCTCGCGCGCGAGCGCGTGGCGATATTCAATCGTGCTTGAGCGCCGACTGCAACAACGTCGAGCGCGATGGCGCCTCTCGTCGATACGACCTCTCCGAGCGAGTGTTGGGCAATTTATTCAAATGTTCTTTGACCAAATAATCGATATCAAACATCAAAATTCATCAATCCTCGTGCATAAAACTAGAAATAACCTCGTCGATTGATGAAATTAATCAAACTTTGATGTGAAAATTTTCCTTGACTGAAGTAAATTAATCGTCAAGATTAATGAAACGTCGTAAATAGAATTACCAAAAATTTCGTCAATTGATGAAATTAATTATTAATTGAACTCTGATGTGATGAAAATTTTCTCTGACTAAAATAATCAGCAAACCGCTCATTGAAATTAATTAATCGTCGTGTATAAAATCACAAGTAATTTCGTCGACCAATGAAATTAATTAAGCTGTGATGTAAATGATTATGCATTGATTAATCTCATTGATTCAATGATTCATTAATGATTACTTGTGATTATCCAGTGAATAAATATTTTTTTATTTTTTCGGCACTTTTCCTCTCTCAATCGAGCAACTTATTGATTTGCCAATTATTTTAGTCAGAGGAAATCGAACAAAGTGTATCACTGAATATATAACATTTTCATCGATTAATGCTCAGCACTGGCCGAGAGCCCCCCGGAGTTTCGTTCCGTCGACGATCAGTGCGGCATGAAATTAATCCCGCCGCGCGTTGAATGAATGAACGATGAGACGTGGCGTGGATTTTTCGCGATCCTACTGATAAAATCTAATCTCCGCAAAATTACTCTCCTGCGCGTGTATGATCGCACCTTGAAATCGAACGGCGTTGAAACGGCATTCGGCGTCGAAACGTGCAGTCATTCAAGCGCTGTCGAGCTTTTCGCGATTCATAAAGGGGCCCCGCGTCTTATATTAATTTTATTCGGTTGGAAGTGACTAGCACACACCGACGACTACAAAGGACACATCGACGAGGCCTCGGCTCGAGACGTCTAAACGCCTTTGCAGCTGCGCGCATAATTGTCGCAGCTTTGTTTCAGCGGTTGTTAATAGGCATGATTTGCACAAACCTCGCGTCAAAGTTGCACGCCGTCTCGCATAAATTGCCGCGCCGATTTGAAGCGCATTTCTACTCGCGCCGGAAGAGGTTGCGAAAAAGTTTCGCGCGCGCCTTTCGAAAAGAAATATACTCCTCGCTCGCACGTTTTCACCACTGCCACTCCGTCGCACTCGGTTCGCGCTCTTAATCGCGGCGAATGGCGCGTTGACATCAATAGAATAATTCGAAATCGCGCGCTTCAGCTTGCTCGTGAAGTCACACTCATAAGGGAGATCGCGAGTTGAAACGAAGCGAAGCTTGACAGAGGAGAGGGAGGCGCGATCGCCACGTGCACGAAGTTTATCACAACTCACCTAAACAACATCGCAGAGCGACTCAGGAGGAAGATAATCGAAGCTTTAATGCCATTTTGTGAACATATCGCTGCCAATCTGTGTTACCCTTCGCGGTTTCAGCCTGGACGTCTGACAGCCACCTGAAAGATAAACGATATTTTATCAGCTCATTTGGATAACAATCGCGGAAGCGTCACGGCGCGATAATGATTAGAGAACGCGAGAGGTACGTTGCAGCGCGCCGGTACTAATTAACAGTGACAATAGCCGACGAAAAATGACAATGCGATACGACAATGTATTTACGTTGTCTCCGGCCACATGACTGAACGCGAAATATGTTAATGAGGCAAATTTCAACTCGCGTACTTTGTGTTTTCCAAAACACTTATGAATGATCAAGAAACAACCCAGAATAATTACACGCTCTCCTTATAAGAGAAAATATGCATGAGGAAACGTATTATTAGAGAGAACATGTCACTTCTCTAGAATACGTTGATGTAATTAATTTTTACATGAGCAAATAATATCGAGTCGCACGATATTCCGATCGTGTTATCAATAAAATAGACGATAACGGGGCACAGAGCGCTTCCTGCGAATCATTGCACATAACGATTTGCGGCGAGTATCCCGCATCCGTGCGAACGCGACATCCCTTTCCCTCCTTCTAAGTAGCGCGATGACGTCGATTGTTCCAATTTCAACATCGTGGAAAACCCATCTATTCGCGGGAGTACGTCACCGGAAAGGAAACACCATGATGCTGTTAGCATAACCCGAGTATTTCCATACCAGGGCTACCCACACTCGCGGCTATTATGCCCGTGAAACCAGATAGTAAATAATTACGAGTATGTACGCAGTACATTCATTCATTATTTATTGTTATTGTTGAGAAATCAGAAGTCTGGATATGTCAAATTATTTAATGGATTTATCAAGTCAATTTAAAATTTTTTTACAAGTTGCTCATGTGCAGAAGGCATACGGACGCCGAATAAAGCTGCCTTCTCTCGGTTGAAGTATAAGCGTGAAACCATCGAGTTAACCCTCTGAGTCATAGTGAAACGTCCCATCTATCTTTTCTTCATTTTCAGTGAATTTATCGGCAGACACAGTCGATTATAACTAAACAGTAAGAACTGAAGAGGCAAATAAGGAGTACAGCACGGATGTCTTAGTGCTATTAAATACTAATATTACTTTACTTTTGGGAATTTTAAATATATATATATATATAAAATTGGGACTCAAGGATCTAAGTATGAAAGGTAGATTCGCCGCGTACGTTAATCGAAGAAAAATTTCGATACGTGCGTTTGACATGCTGGACATAATTATCCTCCCACTATCATATTAATATTATATAAAAAGTAATATTAGTATTTAATAACACTAAGACATCCGTGCTGTACTCCTTATTTGCCTCTTCAGTTCTTACTGTTTAGTTATTCTAAAAAAGGAGCTTTCTATAATTTCTGTTTAACAGTTTAACGATTATATTATTATTGTATGTACACTCTCATAAACATAAAGGACTACAAATAAGTAAAAAATAATCTCAATGTTTAATTGTTTAATTATAAATAAAAGAATAAAAGAAGCAATGTTTCATGCTAAAATCACTTTGGTGTAACCCCCTCAAAGGGTTAATATATTCGCGTAATTCCCGAAATACCCAGAATATCCAAGTGCCTGGGTAATACCCGAAAGACCCGGGTAATTAACTGGCTAGTCTAAATTGACAGCACTAAAGCACCGAGTCGACCGCGTAATAGCCATGTCACACTAGCGACTCGCGACTGCGATTATGTCTCTTGACCAGTCAGAAAGAAGCTGCTAGCTACCGCTTTTCTCATTGGTCAAGAGACATAATCGCAGCCGCAGCCGCTAGTATGATACGGCTATAAGGCGGCTCCTTGGGAGAGCCTGGATTGAGCGAAAAGCCGCGAAACCGACTTCGCCCGCGGATCGGCGATATTACGTCGTCGTCCACACCGTGTGGCGATCCGTTACGACCGATAATCGGCGGTACCGAGGGATTTTGCGGTCACTCGGCGCACCCGCAACGACGTCGCGGAAGTAACGGATGCGTAATCGCAGTCGGCCCGTATTAAACGCGCACCTGCTGGCGCGTGTCACGTTGTGTTAATGCCGCCGTTGTAAACGTAAACGCGTAATTGAGGCGACGCCCGCGAATTCCTAATCGCGCGCTAGGACCACGCATGCCACGGCGATTTTAAGGTCGATTCGTGTAACTTGAATGTTAACGTGTTCCAGCGGAGCAAGCGCGGTTTCGCTTCGTCGCCAAACTGAAACGATTCTGCCTTGACGTAAGCGCCGGGAGACACGAATAACGTTCCCAAACAACTATCACGAGAATTCCAACATATGTTGAAGGAACACCTCCAGGGCAAATGTCTTCTCAGAACGCGAATGAATCAGCGAGAAATCTCATTCTTCAACTTGTAAACATTTCAGATATAGATCTTACTCGAACAGAAGCCCGAAATAGAGGATAATGAAATATTTAACGTCTCTCTCTCTCTCTCTTTTCTTCTTGACGTCGTAGAATTCGCGAAGAAACGCGACATTAAATTTCCGAAGAGTTATTTCAGTTTTCAGCGAGAGGGAGGCAAGAAAATATAATCTCGTTCTCACCAAACACGCCCATTACCGTACACCGTGTGTAACGTAATTGAAGTGATTGCATTCGCGTCAGCGAGTAACGTCACGGACTGTTGCAGTCATGGTATTCATTCTCAAAACGAAAAACAAAGAAAAAAGAGATTTAACGTGACAGTGTCTGCTCTCCAGCTGGCTTACGATATAGATTCAATCCCGGGACAAGTGATGTATAGACGATCACAGAGATTATATAAGGTAACGTAACTTGCAACTTTGTATAACCACGGACGTAAGAATTTCGAGCAACAGTTTTCAATCCATGACGACAACGCGTAACGCGCCGCGTTCAGTTCAATACGACTCAGCTCGATTCGGCGCAGACACACGCGGTTGCACCACCTGTTTGAACGAGGCGAGCCGATTCCTTCTCCCTTCTCGATTCGTTACAGTTGTATCCACAATGTAGACGGAGAAGGAAAATTCGCTTGATTAAAGCGAGCTCCGAGCGATATTGGTGCAACCGGTCTTCAGCGAACCATAAAACAGAAAAAAAAGAACGGCGGCAAAGAGACGAGAACGCGAAAGAGACGCTAAAAATGAATATCTTATCGAAAGAACGTATGCATATACGAGCACTCGCGCACAACATGCGCAGCCGTGATTATCGACAACGATCCGACATCCATCGATACACATCGCAACGCGCGGATTTCCTACGAAGAATAAGTGAATAATTCCACGCGCGTCTCCCCTTCAAGCGCGAGAAGCACGTATCCGCGAATTATTTTGCATAATCACGCGAGCTTACAACGTTTCGCCGCTGCTACAATTATCGCGCACAATTATAGTTTGCTGTGCTATATCGCACGGAGAGAGAGATAGAGAAAAAAAAAGTATCCAATGCTAATAACACAAGGTAGCGACGATAATTGACACGTGTTAAAATAAAAAAAAACAGCTCCTACTCTAGAAGAAGCGGATTTCTCGAATACTGATGTTATAATCAGACGCATGTTTCGCGCTCTCCTGTCGATGAATCGAGGATCGATTCACGCGGCGGCGTTCGTGGGGAGAACAGCTTCTTGCGCTGCGTGGGAGACGACCACGTCAGTCGAAAGTGCAGAGAGAACGCGGGGGATTCCATCATTCTGGCGCACACGGTGCATCGGACGGCAGCAAGGGAGCAAGAACGAGAAGGAGCACGAGCGAGAGAAAGAAAAGGAGACACCGAGCAGAGTCCAGATATAGACTGGTTATAGGTAATAGTTCGGTAGATGGTAGTGGTAGCGAGCGGTAGGACCGGTAGGTTTGGTTTACTTCGGGTTTGTTGCGGCCGGCCGGTTAGCCACTCTTCTTCTGCGTCTTCTTCCTCCTCGTCCTTTTTTCCTCCGCCGCCGCCGCCGCCACCGCAGTCGCTCTCTGCCTCCCTGCCCTTTCCCCGTCCTCAGCGTGTCTTTCTCGTTCATGATCTCTCCTTCTCCTTTTTTTTGCGCGGCGCTTCTTACGCGGCTGCTTATTTTAACGCCAACAGGGAGATACTAACCAACTACATTCACGAAAGTAGAGACGCGCTTCCACGAGCGCGTTTGGCCCGAAATGCGTGTGTGGAATGTTTTTCTCGTATTTTTCTTCATCCTTTTTTTTTTTTATCGAGTTGCTCGGACGCAATATAAACGCGTCAATGTAGCTTTCCGTGTTTATCGCGCCCGCTTTCCCCGGCGTCGCCCAGCTCGTTGCAGGTTGTCCGATGAAACGGTGGGAACTGACGCGCGCGGGCGAGCTATCCTGAAAGAGTTTCTTTGTGGGGTACCGACGCGACTTTGACGGAGGCGTGTCTATGTCGACAGGCTACCATTAGGCTGAGTAAGTATATCTTTGTACAATCCAGATGCAACGTAATTCTCTCCTGGATCGGGTAGACGGTTCTTCTTTGCATTTCGCGCGCGGCCTGGCGAACTTGGACGCGTATTCCGCGGATACATTCATAAAGCGTGCCCGCGCAAAACATTGCAGTCCAATTCTGCGCTTATCACCGTGGACGGCCGTCTCATTTATTCCGTTTTCAATTAGTGACTGTCTCCTTAATTACAAGTATACGACGAGTGAACACCAATCGCAGGTCGACTGTAGCATTCGCGGATCTCTGCGCTTCGAACTTGTGATGTGACTTTGTGGTAAAATTACGCAAAATTCATTCTGCAGAGTCATTGTTTCTTGGAAGATTTCAATTATCGCGAGCACTGTAATTGAAAATCCCTGTTCGGGACAAATGGCACGTGTATTTCAAGATATATATATCTATTATGCATATTTTATAGCAGTGTATAGTGACGTAACGTTAAAGTCCTACTCACACACA